TGCCCAAGTGAGACGACCTGCCTTGGCCACAGCCACCAGCCTGTCCCCGCGGGCGTCGAGGGTGGCGAGGGAGCCGCTGCACTCCCAGACGCGGGCGGCCAGGCGTGTGACCGAGGGGGCCGCGGCCGCGTAGATCGGGTCGTAGTCAGCCCGCTTCTGCAGGAGCACGACTGCCGCTGTCCCGCACCCCGCTTTGGCCCCCGCCGTGATCGCCGCCAGGGTGCGCAGCTGGGCGAACGGGCGGTCTGCCAGGCCCGACACTCCTGCACCATGCCCCGCCGAGGGCGAGAGGCCCGTGGCCACCAGTGCCGCCGCGCGCCTGCCAGCCGCCCGCCTGGGCATTGCCAGCCGCCGCCTCCTCTCCACCAAGGAGGCCAGCCTTCGCTTCTCCCGGGCGCGGAAAACCCTCCGCCCGCACAGCTCGTGACCCACGTTGCGGGCCCAGAACTTCTCGTGAAGCCCCTGCCGCGGCATCGCGGGGCGCAGCTGCTGGGCCCGCCGCCGACAAAGCCAGGAAGCACGATTTCTGCGGCTGCATCACCAGCTGGGGGTCTGCGACACTGGCCGCGAAGCTGCTGGGGGCGTTGGCAAGGTCCGCGCTGCGCCCCGTTCTCGGCCCTGCCCAGGCGAGCGGGACCTCGTCCACCAGCCCGCGCGGCTGCACGGTGGGGGCGATGGCATGGGCCCTCCGAAGCGCCCGCAGCGTGAGCACCAGCAGCAGAGAGTTGGCGCGCCCGCACCCCGCAATGTTCCCCTGCCAGGCCACCACGCCACGCGACATCGTGTTGAAGGCCGCCAGCGTGCGGGGCTGGCGGCAGGTAAAGAGCAGCGTTCATGTAAGGCGCAACGGAAACTCTAGTGCGCGCGCTTCCTGCAGCTGCGCCTCTGGCGCCACCATCTCGCACGCTTTCCAGAGGTCGAGGGCCACGGGCCCCACCCCGCCAGTTGGGCCTGCTCCTTGGCCAGGTTGAGGTCGCACGCCGAGTCCGAGCTGGAGCGCCCAGGCCCCACGCCCCAGGTGAGGTCAGAGGGGCGCGCCTGCTCCCACACCTTGGTGTTCGGGCGTCGTGCTCTGCTCCAGATTCGAATAAGCGTCGGCATTAGCCCGATCAGGCGGCTGTCGCCATCGGGCTTGGGGAGCCTGACCATGACATTAATCAGGCGGCTGCTCGGCCACTGCAGCAAGTCCTCGCACTTGTGGAAGACCGCAATCATCGCGTCGACGGCCTCGTCCGAGATGTCTTCCAGTGCCCTGGGCGGGATGCCAGACTGCCCAACTCCCGTGCCCCACGGGAAGGAGCGAATCACGTCTCGCACGGCGTGCCGTTCCAGCGGGGCAAGGCGCCCCCAGTCGCCTTCGTCCGCGGGCAGGCGCATCTGCTTGAGGCCGTGGTAGTTCCAGATGTCTTCCCAGGGCCGTAGCTCCCGCTCGACGACGGCATCCCCGTCGCTCCCTTCGCAGGCCTGTACTACCTCCTGGCAAGCAGGGACCTTGGAGGTGGCGCGTGCGGCTCCTGCGCCTCCAGTGAAAGCCTGGTCGGTCCATTCCTTCCACCGCGCCTGGGCCGCCTGGGAGCCCAGCTTCGGAGGCCTCTTCCCTCCGGCCACGACCCCCTGGAAGTGCTTGTCCCAGTCGGCGCCCTGGAACACGCCACCGCCTCTCTGGAAGGGCTCTCGGGCCCACGCCGGCAAGTAGGCCCAGCGGCCATGGTGCTCCACCTCCTGCAGGAGGTCGCGCACCGCAGCGATGGCCGCGCCCCCCGCGGCCAGGCGCTTCTCCCGCCTTGCTGGGGCGGCCAATCCTGTCCGCGGGCTCGCTGCGGAGCGCGTGCAGCGTCTTGGCAAGGGGGCTGTGCTGGCCGCAGAGGTGGAGGGCCCACTGCGTCGCCGCCGCCCACGTCTGCGCCCGGGGGGCACGCGCGTGCCTCTTGCGCAGGGCCCGCCAGGAGGCCTTGCCCCAAACGAGCTCCACGGCACCCACAGTGCCCCTGCCCGCCGCGCGCCTGCGCCCCTCCCCCACGAGGCCCCTCCTGGCCAGGATCTCAATCTCAATTCCCATGAGGGGGAGGTCCAAAATGCCCTGCAAGCCTGCTTCGTCGCTGACCGCTGAGATGGCCCTCCTGACCCTCCCCAGCGCCAGGGCGCACGAGCGCAGCCAGGGGGGGCTGCCTCCTTGGGGATCGGCTTCGGCTCGTTGAGGACTCGCTGCCAGCTGACCGCCTGGAGCTTAGTGAGGGCCAGGTGCACAGGCCAGTGCGGCCACGTGCTGGCACCGAGGTCTAGCTGGGCCAACTGGCTGGAGAGCCCCGCCACGCCCCTGACCAACGCAAAATAGTCGATCCGAAAGCCTCCGCCCTGCCTGCACGAGGGCGCACTCGTTGCACGCACCACCGCTCGCAGCTTCGTGATCCAGCCGAAATCCAGGACTTGCAGCTCCATATTCCAGCCGCCCATGACTGCCAAGTGGTGCCCCTCCGCCTCTAGCAGCCCGAGGTACTGTGCCAACTGCCACAAGATGCCCAGGTTGTTGGCTGAGAGGCCCTCGCCGTCGTGGAGACGCCCAGGATCACGACGCCGCGCCCAGGGGGGGCTGTGACCTGGATGGGCGTCGGGGCCAGAACGGCAACTCCCCCCACCGTGCCCGATGCAGAAGTAAGCGAATGTGTCGCCGCAATCCAGACTCCATGCCGGCCCGCGCCCTTGGCTGCCATCTGCTGCATCGCCAAGTCCCGCTGCAGACGGTGGCGTTCCTGCACTGCCATCGCCAGCGCTGACTCCCCGTCGGCCATCTGCAGGAAGTCGCCCAGGGGCCCCCACGACGTAGCGTTGACCGTGGACAGGCGACACCCCTTCGCCATCGGAGCACGCACCCCGGCGGCCGAGGGCGCACGCGCGGCCGCAGTAGCCGCCGCGCCTGGGGCCCGCAGGCGGTCGGCACCACCCTGCGGATGGGGGGGCGGAGCGAGCGGGGGGCTCGGGCCCCGCGCGGGGCGCGCTGGATAGCGCGCAGGGTACGCTTCCAGGCAAGCAGGCGGCGCTAGATCGCAGCCCCGCTGGTCGCCCACGACGAGGGAGGCGCCGAACGAGTCCGACATGCGAGGGAGAGGCTGCGACTTCGAGGGGCTGAACCCCTCCGCCCCTCCCTCTGGGCAGCACCCCGGGGCCGACATCCGCGGCTGCCTCCCGGAAGAACCCCCCAGGTCAGCCGAATCTGACACCCCGGGGCCGCACCCTTGATGGCCGAACACCCCGGCCAGCCCACTCGGGGCATGGCCCCGAGGAGGTGCATCTCCAGGAGCATCATGCAGACCGCGCCCCGAGGCCGTCACCTGCGGTTGCCAGCCAGGACGCCCCACGTGGCCAACCATGCCTGACATCCTGGGTCCGCCGTGATGGTCCGCAAGCAGGCCGCACCCCGGGGCCGACACCCTGAGGTTGCCAATCAGGGGGCCCCACCTGGACAACCGAATCTGACATCCCGGGGCCGCACCCTTGATGGCCGAACACCCCGACCAGCCCACTTGGGGCATGGCCCTGAGGAGGTGCATCTCCAGGAGCATCGTGCAGGCCGCACCCCGAGGCCGTCACCTGTGGTTGCCAGTCAGGGCACCTCACCTGGCCAACCATATCTGGCATCCTGGGTCGGCCGTGAAGGTCAGCACGCAGGCCGTGCCCTGGGGCCGACACCTGAGGTTGCCAGTCAGGGGGCCCCACCTGGACAACCGAATCTGACACCCTGGGGCCGCGCCCATGATGGCCGAACACCCCCATCCGCCCAGCCTGGGTCTGAAGGTCGCCCACTTTCCCAGGCGGCTGCCCAACCCCAACGACGCCTCTGCCAAGCGGCGCACCGTCGTCGAAGACCAGCTCGCTGCCGCCAGCTTGCACGGTGCCGTTCCCGGAGCCACTGACGCCCAACTCGCTGGCCGCCTGCTCCTTCGCCGCGTGCAGCTCGCTGTAGTAGGCGCCCTCATCTGCAGGAGTCCTCATCATGGCGCTGACGATGCCCTCTGGCTGCCTTCCGCTGCCGCTTGGGCGGCAGCATCCTAGCATCGCCCCAGAAGCGCTTGCAGGCTGCAGACACCACATCAGCAGCAGGGCGCTCGGCACCTTCGGGCGTGGGCGGCGCCGCTTGAGCACGTCGCACTGCCCCCCCACCTCCAGCTCGACGCCAACTGCGCCCTCGGCCTGGCCTTCGCCTGAGCAGCTGCCTCCTCCGCCACCGCCGCGCGGGCGCCTCTGCGCTGCTGCTCGAGCTTGAGGGCCTGCTCGCTGATGGCGCGCTGGGCGGCCGCGTCCACGTGGAAACCGCCCAGCACGCGCCCCAAGAAACCAGCCGTGATCGAGACCCCGCCCACCACAACCAGGCCATCCAGGTCAGCGCCAGGTCCGCCTGGAGGCGCGGGGGCCATGCCCACGACGCGCGCCTGCTCGGCCTTGAGCTCCACAAGCTTGCGATCGCGCTCAGCAGCGGCCCGGCGCAGGGCCCCCCCCCCTGGCCCCCAGCTCCCGCTTCTGATCCGCGATCGCCGCCACTTCCGCACGGCCCTTCTCGACCTGCTTCTCCACCTTCTTGATTTGGTCGGAGATCCTTTTGAACTGCGCGCCCTTGGGCTTGGAGCTGAAGATCGTCGCGCGCAACTGCACCTGCTCCTCCTCCAGCTTGGCCCTGGTGGCTTCCAGGGACTCGCGCAGCTCGGCCTCCCCGACGTCGGGCGAGCCCACCAAGCCCTGGATGCTATTGAGCTTCGCAGTGATGACGTCGAGGCGCTGCTTGTTCGCACTGCCCGTGCCATCGCGCCAAGGGGCGGCGCGTCCGCGGCCGCCCCCGCCCCTGCGGTCTGCGGCTTCTTGTCGCCCATCTTGGCCTTGAGCAGCTTAAGCTCCTCCACCGCCTTCGCAAGCTTAATGCTGTCCTTCGACTTGAACGACGGCACCGACTCCTCGGGCGAGCCTGCGAAGTGCGTGCCCTTCGAGCAGTTGCACGGGTTGCACGCCATGCGGTCCCCGAAATTGACGAATCGGTAGCCGCTGGCATTGGGCTTACTGCATGTTTTGCAGTACCATGGCGCTTTCCCCGACGCACGCGCTGCAGATCCAGAGCCCAAGCTGCGCAGTCCACGGCCACTCGTGCCGCTGCCACCCTCGTTGCTGCCAGCGCCGCCGCCGCCGCGTGCTCCACCGCCTCCCTGCGGCGCCATTGCTGCCGCTCTCTGACTGAGAGAGAGAAAGAGAGAGAGAGAGAGAGACAGAGAGAGAAAAGAGAGAGAGAGAGGGGGAGAGAGAGGGAGAGAGAGAGAGAGAGCACCCCTAGCAAGGCGAGGAGACAGAGGGCAATCGGCCGCGGCCGAGCCTGGCTCGAACGCGTTGTTGTCGCACCTTGGCCCAAAGCGCGAACCCCCTCGCGGTCGGAGGACGCCCACGAAGGACTCGCGGTCGTCGGGCGACGCATGGCCTTGAGCCAAAATGGCTACGGAACTCTCTATGCATCTCTCTCTCTCTCTCTCTCTCTCTCTGTTCCTCTCTCTCTCTCTGTCTTTCTCTGTCTCTTTATCTCTCTCTCTCTCTCTGTCTGTCTCTCTCTCTCTCTGTCTCTCTCTCTCTCTCTCTCTCTCTGGCCCGCTCGTGGCAGGCCCTCCGCGGTGGCCGCATTGGCGGCAGCAGCGCCACCACGAACCACATAAAATGTACAGAATGCGCACGGGTGCGGACGAGTGTCGCGCGTGTCTCATAAGCTTGTACAGTCGGGCTGCTGAAAGAAGGAACGGTAAATAAGGAGCGAAGCCCTTTCTTGGCCCTGTAAGCGCCCCCGTGCCCCAGGAGGGCAAAAGGAACAGCACTGGAGGAACCGAAGGAACCTCGAGCCCCTTGCGAAACCCACAATGTTCCTTATTTCCGCGTCTTGACTGTATGCTGGCGGCCATTACGCTTGATCTTCGATCTCAGAAGGGCCGAGGGACACTCTAACAGACACACGCACAATTTCCACGGTTCCCAAATATTTCCTGGACGTTCGTCTTCCCCTTTCCACTTGCCGTATTTTTTTGAGGGAGAAGAAGGGAGCGCACACGATGATTCAGCATGGAACTAACAGCTGGCAGAAACCCAAGGAATTATCCGTGGGATCTGTTCTCTTCTTATGTGTATATATATATATATATGCTTTATTTTTTGTTATATATATATATACATATAAAAGTTTTCACACATTTACACGCAGACAACGCTGGCGGCGGCCATTCGAAGTCGAGGCCGACGAACCAGCGTGCAAGGCAAATACGAGAAAAACCCGAGCGTCTTTGTATGCCCGCGCAGATCCCACGGGAAATGGCGCGGGTTTTAAGCAGAGACAACACAGCTGAAACACACTGCAATGCATCCGGCCACGGCCAACGACAAACAATCGTGGATATGTTACCCGGGGGGCGAATCAGCCGCAAAACATGAACACCACATTATACTGAGTAATGCACCCTAGCCGCAGAAACGGATACGCAGCACGCGCGCAGAGGAGGGGGAGGAGCAGCAGCGGCGCGAGACGGGAGGGGGGGAGGCGGAGGAAAGGGGACGCAAACGAGGAGAAGGAGGAGGAGGAGGAAGAAGAGGGGGCAACGGAGGGCAAAGGCGATGCGGGGGCTCACGAGTAGTAGGACAGGTAGGGGCACAAGTCGGACAAGTAGATCCCGAAGTAGATGTAGCCCGATTGTTGGTAGCCGTTCCCAGGGTGGGCGGAGGCCGAAAGGCGCCTGGAAACGGGCGCCGAGGCACCGGTATGTCCAGGAGCCCAGCTGCGCAACGTCCCGTACCCGGGTCTTGCACTGAATTATGGAGTCGAGGTCGGAGCTTGACCAAGAGTCTGAGGTGACTGCCAGATCTGGCTGCCACAGTTGCGCATCGGTCCGGGAGTCGGTGACCTGGTCGGTGCGGGAGTCGGTGAGCTGGCTGGCGCGGGACTCGGCGAGCCGACGGGCGCTGGAGTCGGTGACCTGGTCTGTGAGGGAGTCGGCGAGCTGGCCGGCGCGGGAGTCGGTGACATGGCCGGCGAGGGAGTCGGCGAGCTGGTCGGTGCACGAACCGGTGACCTGGTCGGTGCGGGAGTCGGTGAGCGGGAGTCGATGAGCTGGTCAATACGGGAGTCGGTGATATGGTCGACGAGGGAGACGGTGATCTGGTAGGTGCGGGAGTCGTGGACCTGGTCGGTGCGGGAGTCGGTGATATGGTCGGCGCGGGACTCGGCGAGCTGGTCGGTGCACAAGTCGGTGAACTGGTCGGTGCGGGAGTCGGTGATACGGTCGGCGAGGGAGTCGGTGAGCTGGTCGGTGCAGGGGTCGGTGACCTGGTCGGTGCGGGAGTCGGTGAGCTGGCCGGCGCGGGATCGGCAAGCTGATCGGGCCTGCTCGGTGAGGGAGCCTGTGAGCAAGCCGGCGTGGAAGTCGGTGACATGGTCGACGAGGGAGTCGGCGAGCTGGTCGGTGCACGAGTCGGTGACTTGGTCGGAGCGGGAGTCGGTGAGCCGGTCGGTGCGGGAATCGGTGATATGGTCGGCGAAGGAGTCGGTGAGCTAGTCGGCAGAAGAGGTGTGAGATCGGATCTTCGGTCGGGTAGGGCCTCGGAAGCCCCGACGTCGGCCTCCGAGGCCTCCTCCCACCTCGCCGTCCACATCCTGCAGCGGGTCCTGCCCCGGAGGGGGCGACACGAAGGCGTCCACCCGGCAGGCGTGCGGTACTGCTCTGATCTCCTCCTCCCCAGCCTCCTCCTCCCCCAGAAGTGGCGACACGCCGGCGTCCATCCAGCTAGCGTGCAAACCTGCGCGTGCACGAAGTCGCGTCGTTCGACGTCGTGGTGCTTGATGTGCTCTGATCTCCTCCTCCTCAGCCTCCGGCGTCCACCCAGCCAGCGTGTGGGAGTCGGTGATATGGTCGGCGAGGGAGACGGCGAGCTGGTCGGCACAGGGGTCGGTGGCCTGGTCGGTGCGGGAGTCGGTGACCTGGTAGGCGAGGGAGTCGGCGAGCTGATCGGGCCTGGTCGGTGAGGGAGTCGGTGAACTGGCCGGCGCGGGAGTCGCCGCGGGAGCCGGTGACATGGTAGACGAGGGAGTCGGCGAGCTGGTCGGTGCTCGAGTCGGTGACCTGGCCCGGGCGGGAGTCGGTGAGCTGGTCGGTGCGGGAAACGGTGAAATGGTTGGCGAGGGAGTCGGCGAGCTGGTCGGTGCGGGAGACGGCGACCTGGTCGGTGCGGGAGTCGGTAAGCTGGTCGGCGCGGGAGTCGGTGATATGGTCGGATATCGTTCGTTGAGATATCGTCGATGTTGTACGTATGTATGGAGTTCTGCGTCCTGGAAAATGGCGAAGGACCGAACCATGTGCAGTTGTGAGTACTGCAATTCTGAATCTGTTTTTCGGTGGCGCTCCCTATGGGGCCACGAAACGTGTGAGAGGTGTGCTGCAATCTGTGGTAGGGAGACATACGGGCCCTGCCACGGAAGCCTTCGGTGGAGCTCCCTATGGGGCCACGAAGCGTATGATGGGTGTGCCGAATTGGGTGGTGGGGAGGCATGAGGTCCCTGTCACTGGGGCCTTCGGCGGAGCTCCTTATGGGGCCACGCAACGTGTGAGGGGTGTACCAACATGGGTGTGGCGGACGCATGCGGGCGGTGGCACTGGGGCCTTCCGTGGAGCTCCCTGTTGGATCACAAAACAAAACGTGTATGGGGTGTGTCGAAACGGGGGTGGCGCCCAAATGCGGACGGTGTCACTTGGGCCTTAGCTGGAGCTCCCTATGGTGCCACAAAACGTGTGAGGGGTGTCGAAACGGGGGTGACGCCCACATGCGGACGGTGCCATTGGGGCCTTAGCTGGAGCTCCCTGTGGAGCCACGAAACGTGTGTGGGGTGTGCCGAAACAAGAGTGACGCCCACATGCGGACCGTGCCACTGGGGCCCTAGCTGGAGCTCCTCGAGCCACGAAACGTGTGAGCGGCACGCCGAAGCTGATGGCAATGATGGTGACGATGACGGCGATTGTGATGACGATCATGATGATGATGACGACCATGAAGATGATGCTGCTGATGATGACGATGATGATGGTGATGCTGATGACGTCGATGATGATGACGATGATGAGAAGGATGATGATGATGACGATGATGATGATTATGATGACGATGATGATGATTATGATGATGATGATGATGATGATGATTATGATGATGATGGTGATGATAATGATGATGATGGTGATGATGATGATGATGATGGGAGGAGGGAGGAGGGAGGAGGAGGAAGGGGGAAGGAACACGCGGGGCGCTGTTTCTTCAAAACGACGACCAAACACCACAGGATGGTTGCGGAAAAGAAAACATACACATCAACGGTCGGAGCTCCGCGCGGATGTCTTGGATCGGCGCTGGACCCCCCCCCTAGCGCACGGAGCGAGACAGGGGCGGCGCCGGGGGCGCCGCAAAGGGGGGTCAGAGCGCAGTCCCGAGAAATCCGCGCGGAGCTCTGGAAATTCACGTTTATGTAATTGTTCGATTTCCGGGAGCCTAGAGGTTTGGACCTTTCTCGCAGAACAGGCTTTGCATCCCGAGTTGCTTTATTGACGGTCCTAGGGCCCAGCGAGGGCCCCCAGAGGCCGAAAACTGCCCAAAACCTCCCGTCATGATTTTCTCGCAAGGAGAGGAGGTAGGGGTCCCAGTGAGGATTTCACGCATGCTCCCTGGGGCTCTTGGAGATCCTCTGCGCCTGCCACACAGGGAGTTCCTGGGGGGCCAGGCACCGTCACGCCGCGAGGCGTGCGAACCAAAAAGAAGAGCCTAGACAAGCAGGCAACATGGAATGGATGCCAACAGTAGAGTAGCAGCACCCCTTCCTCTTCCCGTCTGAACATCGTTCGACCGATCCTTATCCCCAGTGGCGTGACCTGGGCCCCACTAGCCGACTTACCCCCGTAGATGGGGATGAAGACTGTTCATTTCAGGTTTGAGGGGGCGGTCCCCA